AGCTTCGGCCCAGACCAGCCTTGGCCGTTGTGGACATTTAAAGAGTCAACTGGGAAGTGAGAACATCCTCTCAGGTAAATACATTTAAAAAAAAAAAAAAAAAGACTGCTCCCCATTGGCCCCAATGGCCTTCACCAAATCCCATTTCTTTTTCCTTAGGGATTGCTCCAGTCTTCTCTGCCCAGGATCAAATGGCTGTCTCATGTTTTGGGGACCCCAAGACACACCCTTCTTTCCCTCTTACAGTTGGAAAACAGGCCCCCTCTCCTCCAGTTCCCAAAGGAACCTGGCCTGCCTGCTCTAACTCGTAGTCTGGGCATGGACCCCCAGGAGGTGCTGGGCCACAATGTCCTGAGCCTGAGGAGGGGGTGCTGACTGGCAGGACACGGCATGAGCATGGTGGAGGCTGAATCTTACCTGGTTGGAGCCCTGGGCACTTGGGCAGCCTTCGTTCTTCTCCACCTCCCATCTTCCTCCCTCCTCCCCTCCACGCCGGGAAGCCAAAGCAAGACAGATTAGCAGGCAGGAGTGTGAGAGGACAAAGCCACAGGAGCAGGGATACGGATTGCAGAAAGGAGCTGGGGTTCTTTTTGCAAGGCCCTGGGCAGCTGAGCCCAACAAGCCTTCCTCTCCTAGGCAGGCGGGCAGGACCAGGTGGGTGTGGGCTCTAGGAGGAGGCAGGCGGGCTGGTGCCCTGGTACTCACAGGTGCTCGCTCTTTTTCAAGGGGTGAAGTGTACATTCGTGTAGAACCAGCCCTTCCTCTGGCAGCTGCCTCTGTATACTGATCTAGGAGGCTGCGGAGGAGGAAGTGACACGCCCTGGGGTGGGGGGAGGTTTTGGGGGTAGGGTGGGGGTGACTGATGTAGAAGGTGGAGCAGATTGAGGCGAGGTGCCTAGAGAGGGGCTGATGAAGGGGCCCAGAAGGGAACCCTCCCAAGCACCTTTTGAATCCACAGGACAGCTCCTGTGAGCCAGGAATCCTCAGGACTTCACCAGAGCCGTGACAATACCCTGACAGGTGCAGGGAGGGAAGGATTAGAGAAGTTAAAGGACTTGGTTCCAGGTCACACAGCTGGTCCGCCAAAGCCACTCGCTGAACTTCCTCACGTAAGAAGCATCGTGCGAAGCAGGAATGTGGTGGCCACAACGCCCGTGAGGCGGGAAGTCAGAGACTATTGCTCATTCTGAAAACCTGAGGCCCAAGATGTCACTGTGTGCTGAACTGCACGAGCTCTGGAACCCAGGGAGGGGGCAGGAGTTAAAGTCCTGTCTCTCACAGTTGACGTCACAGTGCAGCACGTTGAGCCTCCACCTAAGACTCCAGTGTCTCGTATCCCAGATTGGAGCACCACTTGAAGTCCTGGCTGCTCTGCTTCCTATCCACCTCCCTGCCACCACAAGGGAGACCCAGCTAGAGTCCCAAGGACCTGACTAGTTGGGGAGTGAATCAGCTGATGAGAAATTCTCTCTTTGCTTTGCAAAAAAATCAATGCTTACAAACAACAACAACAAAACAATAGACCCAGCACAGTAGCCTAGTGGTTGCACATTCGCCTTGCATGTGCCAGGGTCCTTTATGGGTGCTGGTTCATGTCCTGGCTGTTCCACTTCCCATCCAGCTCCCTGCTTGTGGCCTGGGAAAGCAGTCGAGGATGGCCCAAAGCCTTGGGACCCTGCACCTGCGTGGGAGACCTGGAAGAGGCTCCTGGCTCCAGGTTTGGGATCTTTGACCACTGTGGCCAGTTGGGGAGCGAGCCAGTGGATGAAAGATCTTTCTCTCTTGTCTCTCCTTCTCTCTGTAAATTTGAATTTCCAATAAAAATAAATCAATCTTAAAAACAAACAAACAAACAAAGGGACCCAGTGCAATGGTTCAATTGGCTGCTCCACTTCCCGTCCAGTTCCCTATTTGTGGCCTGCGAAAGCACTGGAGGATGGCCCAAGGCCTTGGTGCCATGCACCTGTGTGGGAGACCCAGAAGAACTCCTGGCTCCTGGCTTTGGATCAGTTCAGCTTCAGCTACTGTGAACCAGTGGGTGGTAGATCATTTTCTCTGTCTCTCCTTCTCTTTGCAAATCTGCCTTTCAAACAAAAATAAGTAAATCCAGTCCCGGCACGATAGCGTAGTGGTTAAAGTCCTTGCCTTGAATGCACCCGGGATCCCCTATGTGCATCGGTTCTAATCCTGGCAGCTCCACTTCCCAGCCAGCTCCCTGCCTAGCCAGGGAAAGTAGTCAAGGACGGCCCAAAGCCTTGGGACCCTGCACCTGCATAGGAGACCCCAAAGAAGCTCCTGGCTCCTGGCTTTGAATTAGCTTAGCTCCAGCCATTGCAGCCATTTGTGGAGTGAATCAATGGACGGAGGATCTTCTTCTCTCTCTTCCTCTGGATATCTGGCTTTCCAAACAAAAATAAATAAATAAATCTTTCAACAATAAAAGTAAATCCGTTAAAAAACAAAAACACCTCCTTGGGCCCGGCGTGGTGGCGCAAGTGGTTAAGGTCCTCGCCTTGCACACCTGGGATCCCATATGGGCGCCGGTTCTAATCCCGGTGGCCCCTCTTCCCATCCAGCTCCCTGCTTGTGGCCTGGGAAAGCAGTGGAGGACGGCCCAAAGCTTTGGGACCCTGCACCCGCGTAGGAGACCTGGAAGAGGCTCCTGGCTTCGGATTGGCATAGCATCGGCCGTTGCGCTCACTTGGGGAGTGAATCATCGGACGGAAGATCTTCCTCTCTGTCTCTCCTCTCTGTATATCCGCCTTTCCAATAAAAATAATAAAAGAAATCTTAAAAAAAAAAAAACAACACCTCCATGACTGGCATTGGCATTGTGCCATAGTAGACTGCCAGCAATCCATATGGGCACCAGTTTGAGTCCCACTTGCTCCTTAGCCTGATGAGCCAGCCCAGAGGGGGTTACTAGGGGTCACTCTGACTGGACTGCTGCTCTCGATGGTGTAATGGGGCTGTGTGTGTGGCGGACAGGGTTGGGCTGACCTGTAGCACCCACTGGTTTGTGTGTAAGAGACGGGCTGTAGATAGATGTGACTTAGTAATTGTAACTACCAATGTGTGCACAGGCTGATGTGGGCAACAGAATGAACCAAACCCAGTACTGGCAGGTCTACATAGGAGTCAGGTCTGGGTCACCTTCAACAAGATTTCTTTGAGGTTCCCCTCAACAGAACTGCAAGCTTCTATGCGAATGGAGACTGGGGTGGACTGTGTTAGCCAATGGATCTTGGAAGGATTTCCTCATCCTTGGAGCTGCAAGATGGACAGCATGTCAGAACTATGGAAACTTGAGCAGAACCCTCAGAGCATGCTCCACGTCAGGGACCCTGGGATGACATCGGGTGGGTGTTCTCCATCCCTAGCTACTAAGACAGTTGAGAGGCTGGGTGTGGCTTCTCCCCTTGTCTCCCCTCTCCAATTATAGAAAGTTGATAAGGGAAGGTGTGGAAATAGTGGTCTCATCCGCTTTCCCCTAGTCCTCCACAGTTCTCACCTTAATCAACTGTGTAAACATCATCCAAAATAAAATTTAAAAAAGGAAGGAGAACGAAGCCCACATCCCATATCAAAATGTCCATGTTTAACATCTGATTCCCTGGCCCTGGCTCCTGTCTCCAGCTTCTGCCAGAGCGGACACGGTGAGATGGAGTGGGGGAAGGCAGTGGGGCCAGCTCAAGCAAAAAAGTCTCTGTCCTCCATCTAGGAGATTTAAATTCCTGGCCTGGCCCAGTCTCGGGGCTTGAGATCGAGCAGGCAGTTAGGAACACTCTGCCCTCTCTCTAATAAGTGAATGAATTTGTAAAACAACAGTAGAGGGCTGGCATGGTGGCACATCAGGCTAATCTTCACCCTATGGCACTGACATCCCATATGGATGTTTAGTTTCAGTCCCAGGTGCTTCACTTTCAACTCAGCTCCCCACTAATGCACTTGGGAAAGCAGCAGCAGATAGCTCAGGTCCTTGGGCCCCTGCATCCATATGGCAGACCCAAAAGAAACTCCTGGCTCCTGGCTTCAGATCCGCTCAGCTCTGGCTATCGTAACCATTCAGGGAGTGAACCAGCTGATGGAAGATCTCTGTCTTTCTCTCTGTGTAATTCGGCCTTTCCAATTAAAAAAAAAAAAAAAAGTATAAATAAAATATAAAACCAATAGGGGGCCTGGCACAGTAGCCTAGTGGCTAAAGTCCTTGCTTTTCATATGCCAGGATTCCATATGGGCACTGGTTTGTGTCCCTTCTAGCTCCCTGCGTGTGACTTAGGAAAGCAGTGGAGGACTGCCCAAAACCATGAAACCACTGCACCCGTGTGGGAGACCCGGAAGAAGCTCCCGACTCCTGGTTTTGGATCAGCTCAGTTCTGGCCATTGAGATCACTTGGGGAGTGAACCAGTGGAGAGAAGATCTTTCACTCTGTCTCTCCTTCACCTCTGTAAATCCACCTTTCCAACAAAAATAAAACGAAATCTTTGGTCAATCAATAAATAAAAACAGAAAGGCCCATGGAGCTGGGCTTAGCGTCAATACACGGGGAGTAATGGAGTGCAGGCAGAGGGAAGGGCCCCAGGCACAGTGAGACGTGCAGATGGCCTGTGAGGCCACCACTGTGTCGTCGCAGGCCCACAGTGACCAGGTTTACAGAGGGGTCAGGACAAGCACCTGTTTACAGGGCCAACGTCCAACCAGAAGTGCACCCCATTCCGGCCACAGACCTTAGCAGGGTGCCTGTCTCAGGGTAGGTGCTGAGAAACCACAGGTCACAGGGGCCAGCGACCACTGGGCTCCTTCCCTGGGGGTGCGCGGGGGTGAGGGGACTGGCCAGGGGACAGAGAGTCTAGCCAGGTCTGCCCTGCCCCCACCCCAGCAGCTGCTGTGACAGTGACCCCTCCTTCCCCACAGGCCCTGTGGTTTCCTCCAGATCTTCTTTCGCTTTCTCCTCCTGCTTCCCCCCCTTCTCTGCAGCCCTACTCCCACATCCTCTGCCTAGCAGACACACAGGTCACCAGGGCGTCTAGAGCCGCGGAAGGACCAGGTCACCCGGGCCCTGATCCCAGGGTGTCAGATGGGCGAGCATGGTAGGTCCTAGGCTGTGAGGGGAACGGGGATAAAGAGGACACAGGGGCACCTTGGTCAAGAAGGCTATGTGCCTTGCAGAAGGGACGAGGGACAAGACACATGGCTGGTGGGGGGAAGGTGGGGGTGGTGCGGAGTGGGGGGAGAGCAGAGGAAGATACCTGGAGAGAAGGCATGTAGGGGGTAGGGAATGGGGCACAGGGGGCAAGCCAGATGCACAGTAGCTTAGACTCCAGCTGGGCTGGCTTTCGGAGTCAGGGACATCTTCCCTCCCCTCCCCCAATCCCATGCCCAAGGGCCACTGAGGGGGGTCAACAGGCACATTTACAAATCCCCCAGAGCTGGGCGGAGATCACATTCTTTGTGCACAGCCTCCTCAGGGGGCCACAGGACCCAGCTTCAAAGCCCACCCACACCCTGTGGCTGCTGGAGGGCCCCCTCCCACCCCAAGCGCCATTCACTCAAACTGGGTCTTCCGGAGTCCAACAGTGGAGGGGCCCCTCCGTGGGCCGTCCTGGCCTGTGCTGCACCTTCTAGAAGGAGCCACATGCAGTGCTGAGTTTCCATCACTTTATTTTGCAAAAATAGAAAACTCAGCAATATGCAGTACAGCAAAAGGGAGGGATGTAAACAGAAGGGAGGGGACAGCACCCTGACCCCCCAGAGAAAAAGGGGAGCCCATGGGAATCTTATTTGGCAGCTAAATACGAACTGGGGGCTTGGAGGAAGAAGGGAGGGGGGGGTCACAGAGGCCCTGGGCTCCCCCTCCCAAGACCCCCCACCCAGGAGGAGAAGGAAGGGGATCAATTCCAGGGTGTAAACAAAAAGCTAATAAATAAATAGAGGCTTCCTCTGGGAGAGGGCGGGGCCAGCTAAGCAGCATCCCCACCCTCCCCCCTGGGCCAAGCTGCTCTGGGGGAAGGGGGGAGGCAGAGGTCAAGGGTAAAAGGCACTAGGCGAGGGGGATTTCCCCTGGCCCCTCTGTAGTGTAGAAGGGTCCCTGTCCTGGTGGCTGAGATGGGAGGCAAGAGGAGCCCAAGGCACGTGATGGGGCCAGGAGAGCTGGGTGGCGCCCAAGGCAGAGAGGGGTACGTGTGAACCTGGTCCAGCCTGCCCCCACCTGCCCCGCCCCCTCCCTCACCAGGCCCTGGCACACAAGGCTAGGGCGAAGAGGGCGGCGGGCTTGACCGCCCAGCATTAGGCATCAGGAGCAAGAGGGTGGGCTGCAGGAGCGAGAGGGTGGGCCCAGCCCTTTCCCTTTTGGTCTCTAGTGTTCCTGTTTGTCCCCCAGGGGCCCGAGAGCACCCAGCTGGCAGGAGAAGTCACGGGTCAAAGGGCAGAATCTTTTTCGTGTCTGTCTGGCCAGCCTGGGCCCCTGGCATCTGATGGGGCAGCGTTGAGATTTTTTTTTTTTTCAGAGTCCACAACAACACCCAGGCTCACCCCTTCTGCCCCCCCCCGCCCTCTCTCCTGGTGGGAGCAGGGGGCGGGTAGGACCCTCACCCCAGCGGAGGTCGGGGGAGAACCTGAAGAGGGAGCCGGTTCGAGCAGAAAGGGGACGAACACGGAGGCACCCCTGGAAACTTTGGCAAAATAAAAAACAAGACCACAAGGAGCTCTGTGGAAGGGGCGGGGAGAGGGCAGAGCAGGTCTTCCCCCAGGCACTGGGGGTGTCTGGGAGATGGTCAGTCCACTGCCTGGAGCCCAGCCCCATGGGGGGCAGGGTCAGGGTCCCTGGTCGGCCCGGGGACTCCGACCCCGTCTGCCTTGGCCCTCAGGAACCTCCTCCTCGCCAGAGGCTTTGGGGCGGGAGGCGGGCTGCGAGGAGGAGTCGTCCTCAAACATTTCGGGGTTCTCCAGCATCTCTCGGATCAGGGGGGGCATGGGGCCTGGGATCTCCATCTTCAGGGTGATGGCCCGCTCTGCTCCTACAAGGGACAAGCAAAGAGGCTCAGCGGGGGCCAACGCACCCCCTCCCCCATCCCGGAAGTCCCCAAAGCTGCCACCTCCCCAGCGCCTCCTCGGCCGTGTCCTCCGACTCCCTTGTGGAATGTCCAGCCACCTCTCTGTCCCCTATTGAGATGCCCCTTCTCTGTCAGGAACCCCTGTCTGGCCTTCTGTCAAGTCTGCTCACCCACCTGGGCTGTTCTAAGATGCCACCCTGCATGTCTGCTCCCTTCCAGCCCAGCCCCCACCCCCAGGCACCTGCCCACCCTGGGGACTCTCAGGTACACAACACAGTTGTTCCACTAGATGCTTCTGGGACTTTTTTTTAAAAAAAATAATTGGAAAGTCAAATTTACAGAGAGGAGAGACAGAGGGAAAGACCTTCCATCTGCTGATTCACTCCCCAAATGGTCACAACAGCTGGAGCTGAGCCAATCCAAAGCCAGCAGCCAGAAGCTTCCCTTGGGTCTCCCACGCGGGTGCAGCATCCCAAGGCTTTGGGCCGACCTTGACTGCTTTCCCAGGCCACAAGCAGGGAGCTGGATGGGAAGCAGAGCTGCTGGGATTAGAACCAGCGCCCATATGGGATCCCGATGCACGTAAGGCAAGGACTTTAGCTGCTAGGCTACTGCGCCAGGCCCTGGGCCTATGTTAAATAATGTTTCTGACAACAGCTAACAGGCAGAGCGCACTTACTATGCCGGGAGGTAAGGGAGCCTCCTAAATCAGCACCACCCAAAAGAACTTTCTATAAGGTGACAATATCTGCTCCATCCAACACAGCCACCATCTGGTAAATGTGGCAACTGAGCATTTGAAAATGTGGCTTGAGTGACATAGTGGTTCAACACACTAACTCTCTACCCTGTTGACACTATATGGGTGCCAGTTCGAGTCCCAGCTGCTCCACTCCATGATCCAGCTCCCTGTTTATGGCTAGGAAAGCAATGGAGGATAGCTCAAGTTCTTGGACCCCTGCACCCAGGTAGGAGACCCAGAGGAAGCTCCTGCCTCTTGGCTTCTGGTCAGCTCAGTTCTGGGCATTGCAGCTATTTGGAGAGTGAATCAGTGGATAGAAGATTTCTCTCTCTTATTACAATTTATTTATTTTTATTGCAAAATCAGATATACTGAGCTTCTGTCCAATGATTCACTCCCCAAGTGACCACAACAGCTGGTGCTGTGCCGATCCGAAGTCAGGAGCCAGGAACTTCCTCTAGGTCTCCCACACGGTACAGGGTCCCAAGGCTTTGGGCCGTCCTCCACTGCTTTCCCAGGCCACAGGCAGGGAGCTGGATGGGAAGTGGAGCTGCGGGGATTAAAGCTGGCTCCCATATGGGATTGAGGTACGTTCAATGCAAGGACTTTAGCCACTAGGCCATCGCACTGGGCTCCCCGCTCTTTCTCTTTCATCTCTCCTTCTCTCTGCAAATCTGCCTTTCAAATTAAAAAAATCTTAAAAAAAGAAAAAGAAAACGTGGCTTGCTGTAGCACAGCAAGTCAAGCCGTCACTTGTTATACTCAGCACCCGATTCAGGAGCTACTTATGCCCGCACTGCCCACCCAGCTTCCTGCTGGGGCATCTGAACGACAGGCAAATGAGCTCATGTGTCTAAGTGTCTGCCACAGTAAGGATGACATGGCTAAGGGTTCCTGGCTCCTGGCTCCCCCACGCTGCCTCCCAGAGGCATCTGTGGAGTGAACTAGCAGAATTCAGAAGATGTGGGGCCAGAGTTGTGTGACACAGCAAGTTAAGCCTCCACCTGTGATTCCAGCATCCCACAGGGGTCACCGTCCCACTTGTGATCCAACTCCCTGCCAATGTGCCTGTCACCAAAGCATGGGAGCCCCAGAAGCAGCTCCTGGCTCCTGGCCTCAGACCAGCTCAGCTCCAGTCACTGTCGTCATTGGGGGAGTGAAGCAATGTATAGAAGATGACTCTCTGTGTCTCCTTCTCTCTGTGTGTAATTATACCTTTCAAATAAGCTTTTTGTTTTGTTTTGGTCAATGTGGCTACGCAACTACAGAACTGAATGCTAAACTTAGGAAAGTTCTAAGCACATTAACTCCTTTAGTCCTCATGGCTAACTTTATGAGACAGGGTGAAGAGGAGCACGGTTAACCAGGAAAACCAGACAGAGTCAAGCAAGCCTCTCCCTGCCCCGGAAGTCTCCCCAGTTTGATGTGGCACAACTAGGATTCCAGCAGATTCTGAATCACCATGCTCCTGCCCGTGCCTGCCGGCAGGTCTGACCCCAGGCGGCCAGCGGCTCTGGGAGGAGAGGAAGGGACTCTGGGACTAACCCTTGGTGCTGATGCCTCGCAGGTCGGTGATCTTCATGAGCATCCTTGGGAACATGTAGGGCTGACTGGGACGCCGACGCCGAGCGTACAGCCTCAGGGCTTCCAGCAGGGGCTCCTGCAGCTTGTCCACTTTCTCGGGCTCCTCCAGGTCCATGCGATCTACAGGGACAAGCGCAGTGGAGTGGATCGGGTCAGGTGCGACAATTCCGGCCGAGAGCAGTGAGGTCTCTCCCAGCGGGGTCTTAGGGCGGGAAAGCAAGCAGCGGCTCGAGCGGCCGCCAGGGGGCGCGTCCGCACCTCCGCAGATGAGGCAGATGGCGCTGAGCAGCCCCGTCTCCGTGTCGTCCATTTCCAGCGGCAGGAGCTGCCCGGCGAAGGCAAAGACGAGGTCCGTGAGGGGCCCGAAGCCGGCGTTGTGCATCTGGGTCCGGTTCAGGGTGAGCCCATCTGAGAAGGTCATGGTGTCCTGCTCTGGGGTGTACCTTGTGCAGATCCGCAGCATCTATAAGTGTATGAGGGTGTGGGGAGAGAGGGTGAGAGCGGGCCTTGAGCAGAGAGCTAAGACAAAGAGCGTGGAGCACAGGAGTTCTGAGGAGTCCCGGAGGTGGTAGGGCCTGGAAGGGGGACAAGGAAACCTTTTCATGGACCCTGGGAATGGTTAAAGACCTCCCACAAGGGTAGGGGCGCTACTGGCATGGAGCTTCCCACCCAGGGTGCCCAACCTACCAGGATGTCCAGGCAGGCAGCCTTGAGCAAAGTAATCTGGTCAGCGATGCTGAGACCTGTAAAGCCGGGCAGCCGCTTGGCAAACTCCACAATCTTGATGATGCATTTGGTGGCCAACTCGCTGAACTTGTCCCACAGCCCCAGGTCCAGTTGCACCCGGTGGTCAGCGCTGGAATTCTGGGGGTTGGGGGTTGGAGGTCAGGGTGCACACTGAAGCCTGCCCTCTGGCAGCCCCTCCCTGCCCTCGGTACCAGGCCACCACCTCCCACACTCGCAGGTTCTCCCTGCCCCTGCTCCCACTTCTCACCGTGGTGTACTTGCCCAGCTGGCAGAGCGAAGGGAAGGTCTCCTGGTGGGCTTTGCTGACCTTGGCAATGAGCTCCTCTAGTTGGGGGCTGAGCTCGTAACTGTCGGGGGACCCTTCTTCCTTCACCTCTTTCTTCTTCTTGTTCCGGTCGTTGCGCACAGCTTTGGGGGATAGAGGGCTCAGGACCTTGCGTGCCCCATTCTGTGCTTCCCGTGAGCACCTGTTCCCCCTCAGGGGTGCCTCAGTTTCCCTCTCTCATCTTGGCAGCTTCTGTCCCTAGGCTGGCTCTCCCCAGTCCCACCCAGGGCCCCTGCAGCCAGAGCCATTGGGCTCCATCCTGCCCTTCCTGTCACCCTTCAGGAGCTGGGGGAGGAGGGGGCAGGATATGCAGGAGGCAGGATATCCACTTATAGCCTGGGCAGCACAATGGGAGGGATGGAGGGGAGGGGCCACCCTAGAGCCATCTCAGGCTCAGTCCTGGCAACAGGAGAGGGAGAGAAGAATGCCCCTTCCATATCCCCAAGACAACAGGGGTATGTGAAACCCTCAGTCTCCAGAGAAAGGGTGGGGCCTCCTGAATGAAGGGAGCCAATCAAAGAGGAACAGGGCCTGGAAGGAGTCGGCACACCAGGCACAGGTCAGGTCTCCCACTGTCAGGACAGTCAGTCGGGGCAGGCAGCCAGAGGTGTGAGGATGGTGACCACTGTGGAGGGCGTTGGGGGGGGTAGGACCAGGCCAGGGACCTGAGCCTACCTTCCTTGGACATGCCCACTTCGAAGCACTTCTGCAGCCGGCAGTACTGGCAGCGGTTCCGGGTCACCTTGTTGATGATGCAGTTTTTGTCGCGGTGACAGGTGTACACCATGTTCTTCTGGATGCTGCGGCGGAAGAAGCCCTGGGGTACGAGGGAGAGGGGGAGCGGGGGGGGCTGTCATCGAAGTAGAACAGCCTCTCACCACCTGGCACATAGCCCCAGGGCTTGACTCAACCTATCAAACACCTATGTGCCAAGCTCCCCGCCCTCCAGCCCACAGTGCGTGCGCGCGCGCACACACACACACACACACACACACACACCAGCCTGCCAGGTCTATGACCTCACTGATGTAGCTCCAGACCTCCCAGTCCGTCCATCCCACCACCACCAGTACCTTGCAGCCTTCACAAGAGCTGACCCCATAGTGGTAGCCAGAGGACTTGTCACTGCACACGAAGCATGGCTTGTAGACCCGAGGTGGTGGAGGGGGCGAGGGCGAGCTGGGCACCATCTCCTCTGAGCTAGTGCTCTGTGTCTCCACCGCTGAGGGGGACAGGCAGGGGTGAGTGAAGCAGGGGGAGAGCGAGAACAAGGACCCCCATGGACCTACAGGTCTCCTCACCTCACACAACCATGCCCACATCTTCCTCTGACTCACGGTGATGGCCACCTGCTACCGCCCCACCACAGCCTGATGGCAGGTGCAACCTCCCCTCACCCCCTACCCACAAACACCTCCCCCCAGGCAGCCACCTCAGAGCAGCTTGTCCTGCTCCTAGCCCATGCCCCTGGCTCTGGCCACACTAACACCAGCTTAGGTCTACATATCTCAGGCCAAGCTTATATACTGGAGATGAGCTTCTCTGGGCTCAGCTTTCCCTAGCTATCAAGTGGGTGTGTCTGGGGACAGGAGGGCCCCCAGCCCTGCAGCTCTGGCCTCTCTGGTCACTCCCTGCCACTTTGCTAGATCCTTGTCACGCTGTCTACACAGCCCCACCCCCCAGATGTGGGCAGGGGATACAAGTACAGGTCACCCACCTGGAGCTGGCACCTGGCCGATGACCTGCTGGGACAGTCCAGAGGGAGGGGTGGACCTCACTTTCTCGCCAGTAGCATAGGGCAGATTATTTTCAGGCCTTGATATATATATATAGTGTATATATACACTTTTTTTTTTTTTGCAATCGTGCCACCCCCTTCACCCCAGTGAGGACCAGAGTCCTCTCTTCCAGAAAGCCCCAGGAGAGTGGAGCAAAGGAGGGCACAGGAATGAGAAGGTGCCCGGCGCCCACAATGCCAGCTGATAGCAGAACACAGCCCTGGGGTCTTTCTGATTCCATCTACAGCACCAATGAGAGAAGGGGAGGCAGGTGGGGTTTGCAAGCCATTAAAGGGGTGTAACCACCTGGAAAAGTCAGGTGGGTAAACAGGGCTAATGGGGGAGGCGAGCCTTTGTGTGTGCACGTGTGTCTGCTTCCCTCCTAAAATACCTATTTTGCACTCAGATATGGCTACCTGACTCTCCAGTGGTTGTTGTCTGCATGGCTGGTCTTCAGAGGTAAGTAAAACCTTTCAGGTACCCCACCTGCCTTTTGGGGAACCTAAGTGGTGGGCCCCCAAACAAGAAGTAAGCCCCAGGGAGTCCCCGGACCCTCCTCCCTAAGCCGATGCCCACAAACCCACCTGGGTGGAAGGCCAGCCTTTCTTCCTTCTACCCTCTGGCAGCCTGTGGGACCACAAGTCTGCCCCCACACGGCCCCGAAGGGAGCTGGAAGGAAAGCCCGGGAAGCTAGGGGATCCAGGCTGGCTCCACCCACCCGCAGGAGGAGCGAAGCCCTCCCCAGCCCTAACCGCCCCCCCATGGCCCCCCATACTCAATTAACATAAGAATCCAGTTGCCACGGGATTCTTCGCTGAAGAAAAGCAAAGGGAGGAAGGGAGGCCAGAGAGAGGTGGGAGGATGCCTTGCTGCCTATTCAAGACTGGGGGTCCGGGTAGAAGGGGGCTGGAATGGTTTTCAGGCCCGCCCCGGCGTGCTCCGCACGTTCTGCCCGCGGGCCTGTGCGTGGGGTGGCGCTCACTCCCGCGCTGACGCCCTCCCTGCCCGCAGAGCGCTGCCTCATTTCCTCTCTTGCGCAAGCGCCTGGGTGCGGTCAGACTGGCATGGGCCGGTGCCAGCCCAATTATAAGACTAAGGGGCTACAGAGAGCCCGGGGCCCAGGGGGATGGGGTTAGGGAAGAGGCAGCTTTTAATGTCACCCACTCTCAACGTCCCTTGGGCATTCCTTCTTTCCCTGAACCCCAAAATGCAATCCCCCTCCCGCGCCCCCTCAAGTTGCGCAGGTGGGCAGAGGGCGCCGCGCAAAGCTAACCCGCGCGGTCTCCGGTGCCCTCCGCAGCTTCGGTGCCTACACCGTGCCACCAAGATGCTCTCCCGAGCCCAGACAGGGGGGCCCCTGTTGGGGAGGAGGAGGTGGGCTCTGTTTTTTTTCCCCCCTCCTTTTAAAGCCCAAATTGCTGAAATTGAGGAAATTCCTGGCCAAGCTGAGCGGAGCTTCAAACAAACTCTTTATAACCGGCTGTAAACGCTCCCAGCTGCGAGGCCCAGAGCGCAGCAGCCCCGGACTCACAACCCCGCACACACCTCCTGGGAGACCCACACACTCTCACAAGTCAGCAGCTCGCGGGAGGCCAAGCACCGAGACGCACCACGGAGGTGACAAACAAGCCACAGAGCCGTCACACGCCACTCAGCACCGGCCCACAGGTTCACCCGCAGCCCGAGTCAGCTGCGCAGAGGGGGGACCCCAGGAACGCCCCCGGCGCGAGCACGCACAACTGGCTCACCTCCCCATCAAACGCACGGGGAGAGCGCGCGCGACTGGGCTGGTTTGGGGTCTCCGAGTAACTCAGTAAGGACCCCCTCCCGAGGAGGGGAAAGCTAAACCGCAATTCCAAAACATCCTAACACTTGGACCCAAAGGGGCTTTCAGAGGGCCTAAGAAAGGACAGGGTCCCTGCCCAGCAACACCCCCCTCTCCCAAAAAAAGAACTCTTTATGGAAGATTCCACCTCAGCACACACCCCTCCCAACATACCCCAGTTCCCCGTAACCTCTTGGGCAATAAGAGGAAGGTTAAGAATTCACAGGAATTTGGTTCAAAGTAATCCCTCCCAGTTTGCTCGGACTTTTAAATGGCACACTTTAATTCTGGCCTCACCCCACCCCAAAGTGCGGTCTCCTAGGTTTTGCCACCACCCCCTTCCAGTTTCCCAGTTGTTAAATCTGAGCAAAGCTCTGCCCTGGAACCAAAAGACCGAGAGAAAAAAAAAAAAAATCCTAACTTGTAAACAGCGCTGCCGAGTGCCAAGGAAAGAGGCGCGTTGGCGGGGGCCCGGTGACCCGCGGCGCGCACTCCCCCAGCGCCAGCCGCCCAGCCCGCCCCTTCTTCCCAGCGAACCCCCTCATACACACACACACACACACACACACACACACACGCCTCCGAGACCCCCCAGGCTCCAGCCCTCCGCACCCGGCGGCAAGCAGTCCCAACCCCCCCACCCCGAGGGAGGTTTTTTCAGGGGTGCTGAAGACTCCCACCCCCGCCAGGCACTGTGGGCCTAGGCTTCAAAGCCGCCTCTCATCTGGACTTCATTTTTACTGCCTTGCAGTCCCCAGTTTTTTATTACCGCTTTGGAACGGGGTTCCCGGGCCCCAGGCCTGGCATCTCCCATTTCACAGACTGGGAAGACGGACATTCTGGAACCCCAGTAACCTGACTAGTCCTTACCTTGTCATCCCCAGGCCATACCACACACACACACATAAACACACACACACACACACACACACACACACACACGGACTCTGCTTTTAAACTTTTTTTTGCTTCCTGCTCAACTTGCGCGTGTATTGGAGCCTTAGAGAAAGTCTTCTTTCCATTACAACCCTATTCACGTTCCTAAATATTCTTTCTAAACAGGGTAAGGGAAGAAAAAAGGAGCCGGAGCTCAGCCGCCTCCCTTCCAGGAGCACAGTCCCTGGCACCCCCTCCCCACCCTCCCTGCCCCGCGCAGAACACACAGGATGCTCTGTAGGACAGGCACTTTCCAAAGCCAGCCGCCCCCGCGGCCACGCAGGGGCACACGCCCTCCCGGCCTCACGCCACAAACAGGAGGACCTGCCAAGGCTGTCTGAAGGCAAAATGCCTGCAAGAACCCCCGGACCCCTCGCGTCCCCCACAACCTAGGCAATGCGCTCTGCAAATACTATGTGTTTGTGTTTTGGGTTTTTTTTTTTTTTTTTCCTTTCACACGCACAGCTTCCCACATGGACTTCACAAACACTACCCAGGATCCTTGGGTGTCTTATCCTTTCAAGGCTGGGGACCTTAGGGCGCACCTCGGTCCCTCCCTCTCCCCAGAGATCTCAACTGCACGTTCTAGCTAAACACCCACCATAAAAACCACACGCGCTCCAAACACTACTGCATACACGCAAAGCAGGCACGGAGGCCCCCACGTTTAAAGGGCCAGCAGCCCCACATACTAGGGGGCCGGAATCTCTGAGCGCACCCTCCAGTTCCAGCGTCCATACACGGAGAAAGACTGCACCCCCAAACCCACTTACAGCCCCATCCCCACCCCCAACCCCCGGGTTCGGGTACCTACATTGCAAACTGGTGGGTTGCGACCAAGCAAAAGGCTCAAGTCCGGCGAAACAGGAGCTGCCGGTGGCTCTGCGTAGCAAGCCAGCCCCGGGCCCGGCCGCCCCGTACAGCCGTCGCGGACCCGGGGCAAACGTCTCCATGCAGTCGTACATCACGACCCGGCTTGGAGGGAAGCAGGGTGCTAGAACACCAAGGACCCGCAGCCGATTCCCCCTCCTCCCCCAGCGGCGCCCCGCTCCTGGAGGGGGGGAGGGGGAGGGCTAGCATAGGGCGCAGAGCTGCATGGGGGGCAAGGGGGTGGGCGAGGAAGAGGGGGATCCCCAGCAGGGGAAAGGGACTGGGCGGGGCACGGAGCCGGGGTTGCCGCTCCAGCCTCCTCGGTCCGGCTCTCTCTGGGCGCCTGGGCAGCTAGGCACTGGGGAGACCTTTTGTAAAAGCAAAGCCTAGGGTGGGGGGTGGGGCTTAGAGCGCAAAGGGGGCCGGGCACCGAGATGAGCAGAGCTAGGAGTGGAGCGTACACACAGCGCGCGCACACATACACACACCCGCTCTCTCGCCTCGCCGGCGCGCGCGCTTGCTTAGACACATATCCGTGCATGCATTTCTCTTGGCAGGCGCCACGCACTGCAAATATGCAACAGCGTGCACACGCATGTCGGCACGCACATAAATTCACGGGCGCACACGCGTCAGTGCAAACACACCTGGTTAATTGAGAGAACGCCAGAGCAATCATTCTGCCTCTCCACAGCCCCGGAGAGGCTCGACACGCATTTGCACTTAGGAGCTTCCCCAGGCCCGGGCTGGGGGCAGGGGGGTCGGAGGGGAAGGAATGGAGGAACCCAGCAGCATATGTATTTCCTTTCCGTTTTCCCCTCCCCCTTCAATTATTGCTTTTCCACCTAAGTCGGCGGTGGAGGGGTGGGCATCGGAGGCTGCCAGCGGAGTAGGGGAAGGCCGAGGTCCTCCGCGGCGCGCGGCCAGAGGCCGGGGAACCTGCGCTACCTCCACCCCCTCATTCCCAGGCCTAGCTCCGCCTTCCCCCTGTGCGCGCACGCGCGCGCCCGCGCCTGGGGCCCGAACCGTACATTCCTGCGGCTCGGCGCGCGCGGCCTCCTCCTTCCTTCCCGTTCTCCCCACCCCCGGTCCGCGGGCCGGAGCGCGCTCCCGCCGTGAACTCTCCGGGAACCCCCCTCGGGGCGGGTGGCCGGGCGCGCTCACCTCCTCCTGACCCGGCCCCGCCCCACCCCGCCCAGGCCGTCGCCAGCGCCGCGGCGGAGTCCCCCCCACCACCCCCGCCCGCTCCAGCGAGAACGCCGAGGCTGCCCCTCCTAAGCCCGGGCTGTCCTTCCTCCACCGCGTCCCGGTCGACTCCCTCAGGTCCCCGAAGCCCCGTCCCGCCACTGACACTCCTACTGCTTCGCCCGTCTTTTCCCCAGAGTCCCCCTCCTCGGGCCTAGCTGCGCGCACGGAAACACCAAACTATACCCGCCCCCCCCAAGCCTCCGTGGAGTGCCACACCGCGCCCCAGACGGAGCTGCCCCTTCCGAGGGCCAACTCCCCTCCCCCCGACTCTGGGTCGTGCCAAGTGCCCCCTCTCCAAACTGCGTGTCTGATCATCAGCTTGTCTCAGGACCACGAAATGCCCCCGTCCAGAGACAAGACCCGTCCCCCGCAGTGCCACACTTTTGGTGTACCCCAGCTCTCCAAAAGGGCCGCCGCACTGGGGGATTCGTTCCCTGAGTTGCCCTTTCCGGGCCCAGGCGCCCTCGCCCGGCGGCGGCGGAGGGGGGTGATGGGGGCGGGGGCTTGGCCACGTCAGGAGTTTGCCTGCGCCGGCGGGCCCGGGCCGAATCGGGGACCCTGGCCCCGGGACAGCGCCAGCGGCGGCGACTCCCGGAAACCGCCCCCTCCCCCGCGCCCCGCCCGGCCGCCCGGCGGGCCGGCCCAGCCGGCTCTGTCAGCGCCGCTCACACGGGGAGCGCCGGGGGAGCGGGAGCGGCGCCCGGCCCGACCCCTTCCCCCGCCTGGCGGCTGCGGCGGAGCCAGGGTGGGGCGCGCTTTTCTAAGAATCGGCTGTCGCGGGCGGGGGGCGCACTGGGGTGCCGCAGGAGTGGAGCGCCCCACCGGAGAGTCAAGAGCAGGAAGGGGGGTAGCGGTGGCGGGCGCAGGGGAGGGGGCCCGGTGGCTGCCAGGGACGGGGAAGCAGAGGCCTGAACTGCAGATGGGGGGCTTTCTGGGTAGCAGGGTTGACTAGGGGTGGTGCAGGGGCGGGGTGGACTTGAAGCAGGGGGTGGCGAGGGAAACGATCCTGTCCTTCCCCCGTGGAAGCAACCCCCTTGAACTGCAAACCCATTTCTGAATCCAGCCATCCCTCAAAACTTAAAAAGGGGGTGTTTCTGAATAGAAATCCGGGAGGAGGGTACAGCTAAGTGTGAAATGGGGAGTGCCCCCCAAAACGAGGGGGAAGAGCTCTGATTAGTCAACTTCAGGCTGTCAGGCCTCCCCCTCCCCCTCCGAAATCTGAAAGGTCCCAATTAAGTCAGGACTGCCTGGTTGGTAATTAGAACCAGAAGTGGCCAGGCCACGGAGAGGGGGTGGGGAGGAGGGCACCGGAGGAGTTGGGGGAGGGCTCCAGGAAGCCAGGAGTCCTCCAGAGCCCCCCTTCTCTTTACCAGATGCACCCCACTCTTCCAGGCACCCTTCCATGTCTACCTCCCAGGCACCGCAGGGAGGGGCGAGGGCTTTAGGACTGGGTACTAGAGGGTCAGACCCACCCTTCACATCCAAGAAACCACAAGCCAGGACAGACTTAGCAGCGTTTGGGGAGAAAGTAGGAGGTTGGGGGGATCTCATGCCCCCTCTTTCCCCCCAAGTCCCCTCCTCAGCCCTTGTTGTAGCAATTAGACCCATTAGCCTCTAGCATTTCATGGGAACCAGATGTTCCCCAACAGCCTGGTAGAAGGGGGGTGACGCTGCTCCCTGTGATCCCCCCCACCAGGGCATACCCCCTCTCAGCTGGAGCCCCACTATAGCCAGCCCGGTCTCCCAGGCCAAGGAGTGCGCCCCCTCCCCCGTAAGGAGGGCTCACCCCTTGGAGGCCCTACCACCCAGGCAAGGGTGACTTTGGCTAGCACTGAGGGGGTGGGGGAGGCAGCTGACTCCCGATGCATCCCTCCTCCCGTTCCCCTCCTGCCACCTTCTTGGATGGGGTTGGGGAGAACTGGCTCTGAATTCCTCATGCTAAATTCTCCTTTTCTTCCAAAACCCTCCCTCCCCAAAAACCAAAGGAGGGGGCATTTCAAAGCAAGGCAGGTCCCGCCCAGAAGGGTATCTGGGTCCCACCTGAAGGGTGAGAGGAGGGGTCTTAGGTGCAGGAGGGAAGGACCAAAGAGCTGGGGGTGGAGTGGGGTTGGGGGGGAGGTTGGAGTTAGGAGGTGTGAACAAGGGCTGGAGCCCAGAAGCAGGGGATGTGAGGAACCCTGGGCAGGATGGGGGCTGGGTCCAGGGAGGGGGCCAGGAGGGGGGTGCAGGCTGGGCCCCAGCGGCGGCGGCTTGCCCGGCTCCCCCCGCCAGAGAGGTTTCCTGTTGCAATCAAAGCCCCGTTTGTGTCGGCTTGGAGTTGGAGCCTGAGCCGGAGAAGGAGAGACCAGGGAGGGGAGGGGAGAGGAGGCAGTAGACTGGATTTTTTTTTTTTTTCTGGAGAAGGGCTCACTCTGGCCGCCACCCTGCCCGTCTGCCTGCTCTCCCTTTGCTTCTCCCAATGTCTCAGTCTGCACCTTTCAGCCTGTCTAGCTGCCCCTCAGCTGGTTTAGGTTGCTGGGCGTCTCTTTGTTGAGTTTCTTTCAAGTAGGACTCTCTCTCCCCAAGCCAGCCTGCCCTTGGTGTCTTTTAAGTGACTTAGTGTGGTGGAAGCTGAGCTCCTTGCCCTCCGGGGCGGGGTGGTGATGGGAAAACACAGGGCCTTACATAGGACCATGGCAGCTGTCTCCAGGTTCAGAGGACACACTGAACTGGGCATCAGGGCTAGGTCAATCTCTTCTGCATAGGAGGAGGAGGGTAACGTGTCTCTTCCCTGCCATCACACTCTGTTCCCTGCAGTCTTGATAAGCAAACACACCAGTGTTTGCGCTGAAGATGCGCTGGGACGCAGATGCCAGAGGGTTCATGCACATGCATGCACAGTGCATGCGCGCACACCCCCCCAGTACACACCCCTCTGATTTCCAGGCACGCAGGCCTGAGCTTGCCTCTCTGCAGCAAAGGCTCCCCTCCCCCTTCCTCCTCCACCTCCACCAAGTTCCGAGGTGCCTGCTTCAACCACTGGGAGCTCTGCTCCATAAGGATGGTCCCATGGTGTGGGGAGACCCAGAGGCAGGGAGAAGCCACAGGGTCCTGCATGGACCACTCTCTGTCTCTAAGGAGGGGGATGGAGAGACAGAGTCAAGGTGAGCATGGTTCTGTAGACCCAGCCAAGCCTCTCATCCTCACTTATTACAAAGAGGGACAGCAGGCCAGAGAGCCAGGAAACCACTCTCCTCTGTCCCTCACTCCAGGGTCCCCATCAGTGACCACCAGATGCCTCACGCCCCCCCCCCCATGCAAGCAGTCTGGACCCACGCTTCCTCTCCGCCTCATCCTGCCTGCCACCTCCCTGCCCAGGCCTGTCCCCCTCGGTGGAGCCTGAGCCACACCCTGCCCAGCTCCCAGGTCTGGTTCTGGCTCCTCCCTCCAAGATTTCTCCTTCCAGTCCTCCTCCAGGATAGCCTTTAGGGGTTTGGAGCTCAGCCTGACCCTTTCCCTACCTTGACCTCTCACTGAACCCTGACCTTGATCTCTGCGTATCCAGGACACACAGGGGCACAAGGAGAACACCCCCCTCTCTGAGGCCTGGCTCCTGGCTCCCAGCAGCGGCGACTTTTCTCCCCACTACCCCACTACTGTACTACTGTTCTCTCCCTCCTCTAGCTCCTTTGGCGGCCCCTCCCAGAAGCCGGCGGGTGTGTGTGTGTGGGGGGGGTGCGGACAGCACAATTCTCTGCAAGGACATTCATGCAGGGGGTGGCTCCTTCCCATGTCCCCCCCCCCGCCAGGGCCCTGGGGACAAATTCACAGGATGAAAACGAGGTAGGGGAGGAGGGAAGCCCAGCTGGAGTTTCCAGAAAGGGGGCTTTGTGCTGTGCTCCACCTGCATACCGCGCAAAGAGCTCTGCTCGGAGTCTAGACGCACCGCCACCGCGGCCCTCGCCAGACACACCTTCGGCAGCCCCTTCAGGAGCTCCTCACGCCTGCCTCACACTGACTCTTTGTTGTTGCACACACTGGAACCCTGAGCCCAGCAGAGTGGCGCGCGCACACACACACACACCCACCCTTTCTCCACATGAGCCCACTCTTTCCACTGCTGCTGCCAGCCCAGTCAAGTCACCCCTTTCACAACCACAAGC